TAGACTGCTTACAGTTGTTTTGCAGTCAAATAAAATAATGTCACTTTAATTGTAACTTTGGAAAAAAAGTTATTCTTAAAGTATTATATTCTTTACAGTCGAAGATCCCGACGATGATATTATAAGATGTCGTTGGGCAACAGGTTATGACGAATGTGGAAGTATTTGTCATAAGTTCAGTGCTACCCTTGACGAAGTAAGATTTCAATTATAATAAGGAAACACACTATGTATAGTAGGCAAATGTCTCTATTTTCAAAAACTCCAATTCCAATAGCACAATTATTAGGTTTACTGTACAAAATTATATATATAGGAATGGCATCAGACCTATATGTACATCCTGTAAATTTGATACAAACAACCTTTTAATCCGTTAATCAAATAACTTTGCTCAACGGGTCCTATATAAAGTGAGACATTTAAATGATTGATTTTATTTTTTAACGTTTTTATATCAACATAGAGAGTACATTATTTTATTATATGTTATTCTAACAAATGCCTATCATTGCTAAATTTGGTAAGCAAAATGTAATTCTAGATAATATATAGATAAAAAAATCATTATAAAGAAACATTTTTGGTAAGTCAAGTTGAACTGATCTTGTACTACTATATGTGTGTTTATGTATAATATGTGTGTATGTATGTGTATATATATGTATATGTATATATGTGCGTACATATATATATATGTATAGAAATAAATTTAAAAAATAAATTTAAAAAAATATAATTTAAAAAATAAATAAACAGAATAAATAAATAAAATTTATTAAAGGAGTATGTATGTGCATATGATAGTAATATGCGTATGTATGTGTGGTCATACATACAATTCCGAAGGTTTTGAGATATTAATTAATTTTGAATGTTTACATTTTTGACATTGTGTCTCCTAAATAAGAAAATATTAAATTATTTAGAAAATCAAAGTTGTAATTTCTAGTCAGCCATAGCGGACTGACCCCATTTTTAGTGCAATTGAATTTCAAACATAGACAAAATATTATTTGATAAGATAATTATTTTAACAATATCATTGTTATATCTTTAAGAATGCTTGTAAAATCAATTATCAGGCCAGCTCCATAGGCTGGTTTGCAGTCGCTTTAATGATAGAGGACTTCTCAACCTCACGACCTACGACACCACTGAGCAAAATACCACTTCAGTTCCTGGTAGTCGTTTTCAACAGCTCTGGATCTTGTGACACTGTACCTCAGTTTGTCAATCCCACACCGGGTGATGGCACATCTATCAATGTACCTTTGAATGAAACATACTTTATGCAGATCGTTGTATATATCGAAAACGCCAACAAAGAGTAAGTCGTAATGTGTTGTAATATTATAGTACGATTCATATTGTATTCACCCCGTGATTACATATCAAACAAAATATTTTACTGTGTTTGATATGTATAGCTTTGTCTACACCAATTTCATCAAAAAAGCATTAAAATTTGATTAAATATAGAGTTGAACACGTTCAACTTTTTTGATACAATTTGATGATATGTGATATGATGTCATCGTACCCATATGGGCTCATCGTTTTTTTGGTCACATAAAATTTGAGAGTGTAGACAAAGCTTTAGGCTGTATGGTTTTTAATTTGATGACAGCCGACTATGACATCAAAGATTGATTTGGACACTCTATACTTCAAATAGTAACAAACGGAACACAGTGTTGTATGTACACAGAGTATTTTCTAAATTTTCCAATGGAACAGTGCCAATAGTCTACGTTATAGTATGAAGCTATGCTTCCATGATTATATATATATATATATATATATATATATATATATACATATACATATATATGTATAACATATATATACTACCGATATAACTACCGATTATTTCAAAAATAATAGAACGTGCTAGCTGTATCTGATTAATTGTATGCGTACTTAAATATTAATAAATTAATACAGTATATGCAAATCAATCAGGTCTTCGAACATCGTACTCCACATCCACCGAACTTGCCAATATTACTGAAAATTGGTATAGTGATATCGACGAGGGCAGGATGGTAGGTCTGTGTATGTTTGATTTCAAAAACCACCAAATATTGTTTAGTAAATTGAGACTATAATGCAATAAAATACTTTAAGAGTTATCTTTCTGAAAGATCCCAATTTACAACTGTCAATAATGCGTTATTTGAACGTAGTGTTATTAAATGCGAAGTGCCTCATGGCTTAATCGTTGGCTCTCTGGCTTTTCTTATATATAAATGATATGCCACACGTTGTTAGAAAATGTAAACTTAGTATGTATGCAGACGACACTATTGTAGTATTATGCATCCGAAAATAAGAATAAAATTTATCAAACAATAAACCATGAACTTAAACACATTTATTATAGTCTGAAAAATTGTAAACCAAGTTTTAACACCCCAAAATCGAAATTCATGCTGATAGGATCAAGTCAGAAACTCTAAAAAATTGAAAAACAGAGAACGTTCTATCAAGATCAATAATGTTCCTAGAGTACACTTTTTTTTTTATAAGAACACATTTTATAAGAACACTGAGGCTGAAATTGCTTAAAAATTAAGACAAAATAGAAAACCACTAAATTATATCTATACCTTCTGTAAGTCCCTTCGCTTACGTAAAACATATGGTCGACTTTCCTTTTCTGTTCAGGCCCCATATTTTTGAAATTATTTATAATTAGTATTATTCCGTAAGTGCATAGGTTGACAAAGAGCAATGTAATGATTGAATATTAATTATTTTAAATAATTGTACCTACAGAAATGTTTTCATCGACACTGTATCGCCTCTTGGATTCCTCAAGTCTAAAGTAGGAGAATTAGATGGCCGGCCTTACTACTTCTATGTGAACATATCATGGGAACCCCAGAGCGATCAACTGGGAGACAATATATTTTGTTTCGAGGCATCCGGTGGTACCGGGTTTGTATTAAACCGTTCACTTTGTATGGCATATGTATATTTATTATTATATAATCAGCTTATATTATGCACTTCCCCCACCTCTCTTCTCATAAACCATACAGGGAAGTCATGACTGATGATTATACCCGGGCCCTCAGGTTCACTTTATTTATCTCAACTTTGCATGTCTTTATCTGTGCATCGTTCCCAAACTATTTAGAGTAACATATTACAAAAGGATAGAAACAATGTTTAACATTTAAAAAAAGATAGGCAAAGTGTGTAGTGTCTGTCTCTTATACACATCTAGATGTGTATAAGAGACAGGTCTATACCTTCTCAGCTTTACTTTCTCAAATTTGTTAAAATTTTGACAAATTTAGGGGGCCCCAGGCCGGCTGGGCCCCCTTGCATCTGGCATTGAGGCTCTATACCACCTCAGCCCCACCATGGTTGGGGTTGAGGTAAGAAAATTTATAAATATGGAACCTCTAGAGTGCCAGAAATGACACTCACAGACTTAAAATTTGAATATAATTTTTGTTTGTCTCCAATTTAATCCGTCACTAGATATATGATATATGTCCTACAGCCTGTCTCTTATACACATCTAGATGTGTATAAGAGACAGCCGACGCTACACTGACAAAATGCCCACGTTTCCACGTACAACCA